GGTTACTCTGAGACAAAGCAAACCATGTCACAATTTTATTTAAGCACAAACAGAAATAAGTTCCCTGTGCCACTCATGAAGTACCAAACACTTCCTCTCTTGGCTAAAATAGGTAGCTACTGTTTCTTCACCAATGATAGCTTTATCTTCATTCTGGTTTCCTCTCCTTTAAGGTAGGGTTTACTGACTGATTTCTACCAAATCATGGAAATCGGGGGTACTTCTAACAGCATCCAATTTAGAGCAAACCCAGCTTCCCTGGATCCTCCCACCAGTTACACAACCAAAGCCCAAATCCTATACTAGGTTCTTTCTAAAGTTCCCTTCCTGAGACACACCATGCGGTGTTCTTCCTCATTGCAGGAAGTACTAAACCTAATGTGTTCAACTAATTTAATTTCTTATTGAAATATTGCTTTAATCCAGTCTTTCTCCAGAAGTAGTAGTTAACAATCTATGAAAAACTTAGACCAAAAGATGCCTGTCCATTTATTCAGGGTATAAAGGTGTCCTGGCCTTTCCTTTTATCTGGCATGAGTCCACACTGCTTAGAAAGGATATACACCTCCAAAGTTAATGTCACTTCTACCAATGAAGTTGGTAGAGCGTGAACACACACATACACCACACCTATTGATTCTATCAGCTTCAAAGCTTAGGTATTTTGAATACTGTGCTCTGCAGTTGGGATCTATACTCTGACCTTTATGACAAGTATAACTATACAAAGTTACATGTACATTCAAAGCTTATTTGATTACTAATTATGTACCTGCTATTTACAACCCTGGAATTATAGTTAATACAATGAAGTATAAAACCATTGTCCATTTACTCAAGGAGCTCAGAATGTGCATGAGGAGATGCCAGGTTCTATCTCATGATATGGTGCAATAATTTCAGTTTTCATTTATCTGTGAGATATAAACACAAAAATAAGGACTTTAATGCACCTCATCTATATCAAAGAAAGTACATGCTTCTTTAAGTTCTAAGGGGGAAAATATCCTGCTCCTTGTCTCTCCCTAATCCCGCCCTGGCAGATAGGTTGGTACAAGTGCTGACAGCCTGTGCACGTGGCCAACCAAATAGATGCCTAAGAATAGCACAGGAAAGGATATACTTGAGTTAGTGACAATCACTGCATTCTCAGGAAAAGGCTCTAGGGGTTGTCTTACCATCCTTAAGCAAAGAGCACACTGGATTTATGTCCTCAACATTTTCAGGAGGTTCTTAATATGTGCTGGTTGCTTGATTCATGTCAATGGAATAAGGTCACCTCAGTGTCATCTGCATGAAGAGGCACTTATAATCTACCTCCATGGAGGTTTATGCTGTGTTGTAATGCAGAGCAAACAGGTTTTCTGCAACTTGGAAATCTATGACAGTGACACAGAACACTGATATGGACAAGTTAAACAGAATACAGACAGCTGAGCAAATATTAAAGAAGTCTATAAATTAATAAATAATATTAACATTTTGTACAAGTACAGTGAGTACATAAGTTTAACTGGGAATTTTGGCAGGAAACCATGAGGAATGTATGCCTGGACTAGATAAGGCCATGCAGAACTCACAACCTTTTCACTAATTAATCATCGTGCAATCTAGCAGGCTGAAAAAATAAATTTGGTTTTCCCACACCATGTTCTAGACCTGCTTTGGAGACTTTGAATTGCCCCAAAAAGTCAAGGTTCTATGAGTATTCTCCTAAGATATCCATTACTCATTGTTGGCTAAAGACAACAACTCTAGCAGCTCTAAACTTTTTTCATATTAAGGGAATAAAACTAATTTTATTAGTCTTTATACAAACTAATATTTTGATTTCCTTCTTTGCTTTGACCAAGCAATTAACAAGAAATAATATTTGTAGAACATTCTATAATTAAAGAAGTACTTTTTTCCTCCATATCTCTTGAGATATGAACCTCACAACAGACCTGGTGAAGAGAATATTATTAATATACTTATTTTACAGAGGTGCAGAAGAGTGAAGTAAATTTCTCATATACTAGGGATGCAAACGTTCCTTAATATTTCCCTATAAGATATTTTAAGATTAAACTTACAACTTGGGGTGCCTGGGTGGCTCAGGTGTCTGACTCTTGATTTCACCTCAGGTTGTGATCTCAGGATCATGAAATTGAGCCCCGCATGGGTATCCACGCTCAGCACAGATTCTGCTTGAGATTCTCTCTCTCTCCCTCTTCCTCTGCCCCTCCCCCATTCTCACTATCTCTCTCTCAATAGATAAATAAAATCTTTTCTTGAAAAAAAAGATTAAACTTATAACAGATAGTACTTTCAAAATCTTATTATTAAAATACTTTATAAGTAAGACATATCTATCAATTGACAAAAATTATCTAGTGCTAGTAGATGGCAAGTCCATTGCTATACACCTATATACTGAATCATGTAATTTTCTCTGGCCATAGAAAGTTTGCATCCCACTTAAAAGGCAAGTTTGTGAATGTTCTGTAAACACTTAGAGAAATAAAGAATAACGAGAACTGGCCTGGTCAGAGAAGAGGTTCAGCCAAGATGAAACACAAGTGAAAATGGGAAGGATGCCATGGTTGTGGCTCAGAGAAAGCAAGGGCAGTAGGGAGAGGGTAAAGGAGCCCATGACAAGGCAAGAGTGTGTTCATGTGGATATCAGAAAAGCAGTCAGAGAAGTGGGAAATGTGTTCATGCAGCACTTAGCACAGGGCCTTAAATATAAAAAGCACTTGAGAAAGAAAAAGATGAAAAACCAAGCTGAGTCTCAAGCAGTGAACATTCCCTAGTTTATCAATCAGCTAATAACTGCTTCTCTTGTAGAAGGCAGAAATTCTTCCCAGTACTTCCCCAAGAAAGGAGAACCGTCAGCCCAAGTTCCTATTTTGTCAGAAGTTCAAACGTTTTTTGATTCTATGACAAAGGCAGTCATTGAAAATTTTTGAGTAGGAATTTTAATTTAATTTGAACTGAATTGAAATTTAATTTTAAAAGCAAAATTAATCTGGCTCTACGTGGCTTTGGTGAGAATGAAAAGAGAGTGAGGTTGGTGAATATAGCTAGAACTCAGGTGCATCAGGCAGGTAAGGGAAAGTGAGACCCCCAGGAGGGAAGTTTTCAGTGAGAAAGAGAAAAATGCTCATAGTGACAGGGGCACCTAGCCAGTAGAGCATGCAACTCTTTTTTTTTTTTTTTTTAAGATTTTATCTATTTGTTTGACAGAGAGAGAGAGAATACAAGCAGGAGGAGTGACAGAGGGAGAGGAAGAAGCAGACTCCCCGCTGAACAGAGAGCCTGACGTGGGGCTCCATCCCAGGACCCTGGGATCATGACCTGAGCCCAAGGCAGACACTTAACTGAATGAGTCACCCAGACTCCCTGAGCATGCAACTCTTGATCTCGGGGTTGTGAATTTGAGTCCTACGTTGGCTGTAGAGATTGCTTAAAAAAAAAAATCTTTAAAAAGTAATAATAAAAGGGTAATTATATAGCTCAAATTGTTAGGATGTGATGATTGATAAGATGAAAAAGGGAGAAAAATATACCAGAATTTACTCTATGATTTAAAGTCAAAGAACTCTGAGGAAACACTGTTAGTGACAGAAATAGAGATGAATGCCAAGACGGTAACAGGACAATAACAGGACAATATTTTCCTTCATCCCCCCCCTCTGATGTGAATGTGGAACAGCAGTTAGCTTTTTGGGTTTTGCAGGGGTGCTTTTTGGTTTTTGTTTTTGTTTTGTTTTTTTAGCAGTTAGTTTTTTTATCCTCATCCTGAAAAAGAGGATTTTCTATCAAAAAAGATAGAAGAAAATGCCTGGAGGTATTAAGATATGTGGCCAGTGTGGACTTGTCCAGAACCCTGACCTCAAACTGAGCTGAGGACTGAGTTCAACTCAGGACTGAGCTGACAGTGGGTGGACGCTAGGGAAAACAGAATTACACAATTCGATGAAGGGGCAGGAAAACCAAGCCACTGCCTGCTACCCAGTGGGAGCATGCCTAGAGGTGGTACTTAATACAAAAGACTATTTCGTTGTCTGCAATGGCCATCACCTTTGTCTCCAGATACATTCCTCCAGCCTCCTGAACTCAGTCACCGAGGAAGAGAACAGTGTAACTCACAAAAAGAGAGGGATAAGGACAAGTGCTTGAAAGGGTTTTTGCAAAAACTGTTGGCACGTTTTCCAGATGATTATTACTTGGTGGCCCTCCTAAAAACGAATACTAGCATTGAAATGATCTGCACCGGATGCGGTTTATTTCCTTTTGTTTTATAAGGGAAAGGAGGAGGGGTACTGAGTTCCATCCTGGTTTCCCTATATATGGCATTGTTTTATCTAAATTCAAAAAAAAATACTTCGAACTCAGTCTAGATGTTGTATTTTTCCTAAGTGTTGATATCACTTTGTCCAATTCAAATTTTCTAAAAACAAAAAACAAAAAAAAAAAGAGGAAGAAGAGCTTAACACATTACAAACTCTTAACCTTATAATGTGTGTTCCTTGATATATATGTGTGTGTGTTGGCTCAAAAAAAAAATAGGCTGTGGGTTCGTAGCCTTGAGCTAACGTCCAGCCGAGGTGTAACCTAAGTAAGTTCTCTTGACTTTAACAGCCACCTGCACTTTTTTAAATCTTGCTCCATGACGGGCCACGTTTTTCGAGAGCACACTTCGAAAGAGGCCCATGAAGCGCATTGTAGGAATTGTAGTCCTGAGTTACTTTCTTTTCTTCCCGGCCCTGGACTCACGGTCTGTTTCCGGGATGGTTGAACCCAGGATCTACCAATTAGCTGGGGCCATGTCGTGAGGCCGTGGTCCAACCGGGAAAGCCGGTGTGGGAATATCGCAAAAATGATTGGCCAACGCCTGACCCAGGGGGCGGGGCAATAAGGTGGGCGGGAAGACTACGGGGATTGGGCACAGAGCCCGAGGCGGCGGGCGGGGATTGGCTCCGCACTAGGGCAGGGAGGCCTGGGAAGGGGCGGAGGAAGGAGACCAGAGCCGGAAGAGCAGCGGCGAGGCGGCGGCGGTGGCTGAGTCGGTGGTGGCAGAGGCGAAAGCGACAGCTCCAGGGGGTGGCAGCGGCCGCGAGAGCAGAATGCGGGTCCGAGTTGGGCTGACGCTGCTGCTCTGTGCGGTGCTGCTGGGCTCGGCCTCGGCATCCTCGGGTCAGTATCCGCCCCCTCGGACTGGAGGCCGATAGCCACCGCCCCCCCCCCCGGCCTCCATCCCGGGGCAGGGCCGTGGGGGCTCAAGCTGGAGACTCCACTCTCTCTGGTCACACCTCGCACTAGCCTGTCACTCGCTGTCGTTCCTCGGGCTTTGGCTGGCCTGGGCTAGAGGGGGTGTTTCGGGAGCTAGAAAGGGGAGGAAGAGAAGGGGCGGTCACCCTGCCCACACCTCTCCTCACTTAACAAACTTTACGCGACTCCTCGCGAATGAGGAATTGACTCTGTGGGAATGAATCCCGACGGCTGGCTTAGATCCGCGGTGACACCTGAGCCTTACTGGAACTTCCTCAACTCTCAAACAGATTATGTGCTTGGGATTTGTAAATTAAGTAATGGACACACCTGGGGTTATCACTGAGCAGAGCCAGGTGCATCAAAACCGGGATGTTGACAGTGGTTTGGTGGATTTGCTTAGCACCTGAGGTGGCCCCTTGTCTCTTTGTCTATTTAAAAATGAAGACTTGATGTAACTATGTCCACTCTTTATCCCTTTTTAGGAAATATTCCCGAGAAAGTGGTGTTTATCTCTGTCACAGTGTTTCTGAGTTGCCCCATGTTTGTTTAATGTAACTTTGTGATTTTTTTGAGAAAATCTCGGTCCCTATAAATTTAAAATGTATAGCAGCTGATTTTCATGTTTTGTATAGATATATAACTTCATGTGCTTTTGAATTGATTTTCCAGTTAGATTAATACTATGGTTCTGAAATGTATTTTTCTTTTTTAATAGTTCAATCTGCCTACATCAGGAAACTTATTTTGAAAGTGTTGATAAAGAAGCACTTAGTGTTTGTGAAGAAACAATTAGTACAGTAAAGCTTTTGAATTTTAATCAGTTTAGTTAACAAGACAGCTGTTCTGTGGCTTTAAATTTTTTTGGAACAAGGCAGGGTATAAATGTCAACTCTCTCTCTCTTTTTTTTTCCAACAGAAAATTTCCCAGATGGCTATTTGAATCCCCAAATTATCTGTCCTAGTTGTAAGTCAATGCCATAACGTCATTCTGTTTCTAAAATAAGAGGTCTAAACCTAAAATTCTATCCATATTGTGGTTTGAGATACCATTTCAAAAGCAACAAGCATATGCTAGTTACTTTACTGCCAACATCATGCTTTGAGGTCTGCCGTCCCCCTTTTTAGTAATGGTTTGCATTCATGACCAAATCTCCAAAACTCTTCCTAACTCTTAAAGCACTGTTAGCCATTATTTGACCAAAGGAAGTATGAAATGAAACTGTTGATTGTAATGGATAGAGTACCTGATGGGCCATAGGCCCCATGCATCAGAATTCCTCTTAGGAGTTTGTTAAACATGTAGTTTTAGGTCTGGAACAGGTCGGGGCATGTGTAGTTCAACAAGCTTCACAAGTAATTCTTCACACTAAAGTGTAAGAATGACTCGTCAAAGAACATAGTAAGTATCCCTCTGGATTCAATTTGCAGAATTTAAAGAAAATTAAAGCCCTACAAACATTTTCCTGCGTCTTCCGTTAACTAGATTTCATATACTTAAGAGCTTCAGGTCAGTGGAGATGGTACTTGAATAAGTCATTTAATCAACAGTTGGGATTCTTGGGATGTTGTAATAGCGGATTACTAACACTGAAGTGTTAAATCTTTGGATTGTGTTGATGTAAGCAGAGGACTGGGTTCGAAAAATGTCTGCTCTGATTTCCATCGTAGTGCCTGTTGCCAAAGCATTTCTCTGGCAGAGGCAAAATCCATACTTAGCCACAACTAAACAGTGGAGATGTGCATGCTGATAGGTAATAAAGGCACTACCGTGCTCACGTGAAGTGCAATCCTAGTAAACCACTTATGTGAGGTAAAGTTTTAGAAATTGAGTACATGGATTTTCAGTTGACTTTTTTTATTCATTAAATTGCTTATGTATAAAGGAAGTCAGCCTCAGTGTTAGTTTAAAGATTTGCTCCTATTTAAAAATCCAGTCTTGGGCCATAATTTTGCATTGACTTAAAGTTTGAATGTTAGTGGTTACCAAAGCAAGTTGCATATTTACCAGGTACCATCAGCCAACAAAGGGAATCTTGATCCTATCACTGTTAGTAGCTGTTATTTCATATCTTGTTTTAGAGGCATATAAAAATACAACACTTTTACTCAAAATGTTTTCTTTTTCCTGTGAATAAATAAAGGAGGAGGTTAAAAAGATATTTCTCCATTTCCTCAGTAATGAAAAATGCTGTAAGTTTTCTCACTTAGAAATATTCATTTTCTTATTTTCAGCAGGAAGAGACAAATGGTTTGCTTTTTTTTTTTCTTTATGCCAAACAGTGTTACAGAATCTTTTAAATTAGGTCCACTGCTAAGTATTTCAGGTAATAGTTCTATTATCAGATACTCAGAGTAAATTTCAGATTGCAGACAATGTTTAATTTCACTGTTCTTTTGTTCCTTAAAACATTGTGAGTCAACAGGACAGATGGTATTATTCTCTTTTGACAGGTTGAGAAAGAAGAGGCTGACCAAACTTGCTATATTGAACCATGTGTAAAAATTAATATGTAATGAAGCCAGGTGTTGAACTTTGCTCTCCAGCCCTCGATTTGGAGTAATTAAAAATCAGGAGTATTGTAGGATCTGCACAGATTCAGTGGTAAAGCAGAGAACAGGATGTCTGCTCTCTTTTCACCAAACTCTTAGGTTTGAAGGTCCATCAGTCTGTTTAGTTTACATGACAAATTGGAAAATGAATTTGTGATGATTACTTTTCCCTGAAAGAATATCCCTGGTACTTTTTGCAGTTTGATTGGCTGATATAATAAAAATGAAAATTGGTCTTTTTCAGAGGAAAGTATACAATTGCTAACGTAATGTAAACCATTATATTTTGGATGTCATACTGTTGAATGAGAAATCTATAACTTTTCATTGAATTCTTTTGCATTTTTTTCTTGATGTCCGTGTTCTGCTAAAAGCATTATTTTCTTTTTGTTTATGCATAACTTCAGTGTCTTTGTTACCTGACTACTACATATCAGAAGTTTCTAGATTATAAGCAACTTCTATAAAAGTGTTATGTGAATGGATATATCAGTGTGAAAGAGAAAATAGCTTATGCTTTAAGACTACCATCTGGAGTTGACTTTCCCAGTTTAGTAAATGAGAGAGAATTCTTTTATTTACCAGTAACCTTAGCATATATTCCTAGTTTGAAGACAGGAGAGACAGAAGCATGATGCAATTCACGTGAAATAACCCTGATGTCACATGTTTCCATGTCTCTTGGAGTTCAAAAACACATTTTGCTATTCGAATGTGTAATAGCTTGTAGTGTCTCAAATGTATATGTCTTCAAATTTATTTATAGGTATCTGTGTTATATACTTATTTGCTGCATATGTGACCTGTTGTGAGAAGGTACTACATTTCATGATTTAGTGATTAGTGATTTAAGAGTTCCGGCTCATCTAAAGTTTGGGGATATATTGTATACATAATTTACACATTTAACATCAGTTCTTGATATATTAACTAGTTAATAATTTGTGATTATTTAAACACATCCATACATACAACTTTGATATATAATAGAGATGAATTTTTTTTTCCTTTAGCCAAAGGTTTGCTGAGAATGGAATTTGAACCGTATGTTAGAATTTGGGCTTTGGTTAAAACTTGTGAAGAAGTTAGCATGAAGGATGATTGTTAATTAAGTGCCATCACTACCTAGATGCTAATGGGTACTGTGGGACTAGTACATGCTGTACCCTTCTCTTCCCTACCCATCAGAAATAAAACATATTTGGAAGGTAGTCTAAAAGTAGTAAATGTGAAACTAGCTATAGTTTAAGTGTTCTTTGAATTGACAGCACTTTTCTTATATAGCAAAACCTCACTAGTAGACTAGTTTTCTCAAATATTCAAAGGAAACAAATACTATGAAATAGTGTTGTATATTTTATACATGAGTTTGTTGTACTTCTTAAAGTTAGCTCACTCTTTTGATAATACAAGCTCCAAAGCATGTTTTTGTTATGCTTGAGTTACAAGTTATGAATAATATTTAGGATGTAACCATATGAAGTAAAGATAAATGGCAACCATAACACCAAATTTTCTGGCAAAAAGCACAGGGTTTTATAGCATTTTGTCTTCTGGTTAATTTCTCATATAGCTTCTGAGCTTATAACTGAAGCTCACTCCTGGATAAAATCAGATCATTTTAAGAGCAAGAAGGAAACCTAGAGATCATCTAACAGTTGTTTTATTTCTAAACTGGTCAGGAATACAATGACCAAATATATGTGTGTGGACACTGTGTTCAATGTATTTGTGTAAGAACAAGAAAAAGAATAACAATTAGAACAGAAGTAATAGAAAAACACAGAGTAATAGAAGGAAAATTAACATAATTGGACAAAGTCAAAGCAGCAGATAAGAATTTGGAAGAAAGGTGTAGCTAGGGGCTGGATTCATTGTTTATTTAATATGAGATATTGATTTCTTAATCTCATGTGAGTGAGTACATGATGGCATGATGCTACTTTTTGCTTTTATCTGGTTAACTCTTCAGTAGAGTAGAACACAAATCCTAAATATCTTGGTCTGGCAAATCTGTCACATAATATTAATTGTTAGTGCCCATCTTTAGTAATCTCAGTGAACAGTAAAATGCTAATCAGCACTAAAATAAGCTCTTTAACTCCAGATTCTGAGCAGAGGAAAATAATAGGTGGAACCCTGAACCACAAAATCAGAGATTGATTTTTATAAGTTTAGTAACTCAGTAGTAGACTAAATACAAACAGAAGAAATTGGATGGTATCTGAAGAATTGTCTGGTTTTGGTAGTGGTGGTGGTGGTGGTAGTCGGTCTTCTCACCTGAATAACAGATGAAGCTAGTGCCTTCCCTGGGGAAAGAGGAAGAACTACCCCCATCTAACCCCTTGTTTTCCTTTTACCTAATCTTTTCTGTACAGTTGTTGAATACAACCATTTTTTAGATGATTCTAGATATATTTATCAAGTGTCTGGTGATTATTTGTTGTATTTATCAAGTGCTTTAACAATACCTGTGATTTCCCAACAAGAAGGATGATGAAATTGTCTTAAAATTTCTTTACAGATGAAGAAGGCAGTCAGGATGAATCCTTAGATTCCAAGGTGTGTACTAAAATTTGCATTGGCCAGTATTTGATGCCCAATTTAAAAGCATGAATTATGTGTCTTAGAAAGGATATGAAATCTATCTTTTGAGCAACAGAATTGGATTAAGAAAAAAAAAACGTAGCTGGTATCAATACACTAGTTCTTCTGGGGGGGGGAATCACTGACCTGTAGGAGACAGAATAATAAATATTTTCATTCAGAGTGTTGGTTATTAGGTTTAATTTTAACTCGAATGTGCTGTGTGTGTAAGAGCCTGAAGGTAGTAACATTCTTACTGCCTAGTGAGAGATTGATTTTATTCCTTTTTTTTAATTTTTAGTTTTCTTACATTTTGAAGACTTAACCTCTGCCATTTGTTTCCACTTCTATCAATTTTTATAAATCTGTAGAGTTGATACATTTAAATTGTTTGGTTGAGTGAATAAGGCTGATGATGTATCCAAGGAGACCATTCAGTTATGATCTCTGATCTCTGGATTTGAGGGAATATAGATAAGAAACAAAGTTGTAGTACAGGGCTATCATAAGGGAAAGTATAAGCTATGTTGGGAGTTTGTAAGGGCTCCTAATCCAGGCTTCAGGAGTTAAGGAATGCTTCCTGTGGCAAATAACATCTAAGTTGAAATTGGAAGAAAGAGTCAGGTTAGGCAAGTGATGAAGGCATGTGATGAACACATACCAAACTTTAGAGAGATGAGCAAGTATGGCACATTCACAGCTGAAGGAGATATATCTGAATTAGTAAAAGTAATGGTCAAATTGGGTGGGAGACAGTCCTGATACTATTTGAAAACTAAAAATATTTTATATTTTCAGACTTCTTTGCCATCAGATGAGTCGGTAAAGGACCACAACGCAGCAGGCAGAGTAGTTGCTGGTCAGATATTTCTTGATTCTGAAGAATCAGAATTAGAATCACCAGTTCAAGAAGAGGAAGACAGCCTCAGGAGCCAAGAAGGGGAAAGTGTCGCAGAAGAAATCAGCTTTCTAGAATCTCCGAATCCAGAAAACAAGGACTATGAAGAATCAATGAAAGTACGGAAACAAGGTAGTCTGGACATTTTCCTTGCTTTTGCCTAATTTAGGAAGGAGACAACTGAAATTTTAAACAAGTGTAGAAAGATGCAGAAGTGTGGTTTTATTAACTGTGAACCACATATAATGTGTAGAGTGTAATAGTTTATTATTTTCTAGATTTTTATATATCACAGTTATTCACTTAACAGATTTGACCCAAGTTACATAAGCTGAATTTGATAATCAAAATTGCATTTGTATTATATTAATATCCTAAACATCTTCTTTTTGTACTCCAGTATGTAATTATCTGCCCAAGTGGTACACAAAATGGAAACTCAAGAAAGATTATCTAATATGCTGCTCTGGTTATTTTCAGAATTGTGTTAGGATTTTTACTACAATAACCTTCCCAGTCACCCTAGGAAATTGATGTAGGTGTTTATCTAACTGAAGCTTACATAAACTTTGATCCCCTTCTAACTTTTACCTTCTTGACACCCTCTGTTTTTAAATTTAAAACTTGCTGTTTCTCATAATAGTGTGCTAAATACCTGTCTTTCTAAGAATTAATTATTAATCCACTCCGCCCTGTCCCACCAACCTTCTGTCATTTTGTTTATTATTTCAAAGATCACTACGATACCCACTTATTACTGTTACTAGCCACTTTTGGAAATTGATCCAGATTTTACCTTTCAAAAATACAATCTTTTTTCAAAATTAGAATTTTTTTTATTACAAATATCCATACCCATGAATAGAAAAACCATGTCTAAAAAAATTAAAAGTACCTTAATCCCATCAGCTAGACATTACAGCTATTAACATGATGGAGAAAACTCTTTTCAGGCTCTTCTCTAAATGTATAGTTTTAAGAAGACTAAATTGGGTCAAAATGTATATGATATTTTACAGCCTGCGTTTTGTGCTTAACAGTTTGTCTTGAATATTTTCCCCTATCATTCTTTTACAATTTTATGGCTATAAAAAAACTTTACAGGTAGCAGCACCTGGCTGGCTAATTCGGAGGAGCATGTGACTCTTGATCTTGGGGTCATGAGTCCAAGCCCCACGGTGGACATAGAGATTACTTAAGTAAATAAAACTTTACAAATTGACATGTAAATATACCATAAATTAGAAATAGATTGTTTACAATTTTTTTTACAATTTTTTTTTTTTGCTGAGAGATCATTTTAGATGTATCCTTATGCACATCTATGAAAATTTTCTGAGAATTAGTTTTTTAAAGTAAATTTACTGGACTGAATGTAAAATTTTAAAAGACATTTGATCCCATACTGTTAAATTGTTCTTCAGAAAAGTAATTCTGCTTACTTCCTTTGAAACGACTCCTTTTCCTGCGCCTCAGCCAAGTATGTATTACCATTTTTAAATTTTTGCCAAATATTTTAATTTGTTCTTTTTTATTTTTTTATGAGGGAGACTTCAAAATGTTCACAAAAGTGGAGGGTGTAATGACCCCCTTGCCCATCACCCAGGGTCAGCGGCCATCCACACTCTTACTCTTGCTGCATCTCTGCCACCCAATACGAATCTACTCTTTTCTTTCTTAGAGTATTTACAGCAAATTCCATGTTATTTCACCTGTGTATGTATCTCTAAAAATACGGCTTTTTTTTCCCCAACAAAATCACAGTGCTATTATAACACCCACAATTAACGATTATTCTTTAATCACCCAATCCCCAGTCTCTCTGCAGTTTTCCCTGTTGGTTCAGATATCTTTTTAGAACTGATTTGTTTGAGTGAGTATCCACACTTAGATGTTAGGTTTTTCTTAATCTATAACAGTTCTCTATCCCTTGTTTTTTATTTCATTTTATTTGGTAAAGAAATAATGTCCTTTGTGCTATCCAGTGTCCCACATCTACATCTAACTGGTCATATCCTTGTAATGTCATTGAACTTGTTCCACCATCTGCTGTCTAGTCTGTAAACTGGAAGTTAATTCTAGAGGCTGAGTAGATTTAGCTCTGGTTTTTTATTGAGATTATCTCATAGAGTACTGTGTACTTCCTATTACATTACATCCGGAGGCATAGAGTATCTGATTGTCCCACTTCTAGTAATTGATCAGTGAAGCTGGGTGGTGTCAGTCTGATCCAGCCATTCAGAAGTTCCTCACTAACCTTTCACCTAGAGATTGTGACAGCCGTTTTGTTTGTTGTCTGGACCCATTATTTCACTAGGAATTGCAAAGTGATGGCTTTCTAATGTATAATTCCTCCTGCCTTTGTTACCTGGGATTATTTTATAAAGAAAAACTTTCCCTCATCAACTATTTGGTTACCCTGAAACACAGTCCTTACAAGCAGGGTAGATGCTTGGTTCTTTGCCTTGAAATATTTTCAAATAATTTGGTGCTCTAGCAACCTCCAAAGGAGGCCAGTAAGTACATTTTTGTTTGTTTGTTTCTGTTTGCTTTGCTTCTGAGCATCATTCCAGATCCATGGGTTTCACATATGTTTGCTTCACGCAATTGCAGTCCTTCTTTTTCATTGCTCACATTATCCCATTTTTGCATACCGAGAGTCCCTTTAAGTCCATTCTTTTGGACTAATCATAGGTGACTTTTTTTTTTGTCTCTTTTTCTTTTTAATTAATTAATTTTTTTTGATGTAGTGTTCCATGATTCATTGCTTGCGTATAACACCCAGTGCTCCATTCAGTACCTGCCCTCTTTAATACCCATCGCCACGCTAACCCATCCCCCCACCCCCCTCCCCTCTAGAACCCTCAGTTTGCTTCTCAGAGTCCACAGTCTCTCATGGTTTGCCTCCCTCTCCGATTCACCCCCTTCATTTTTCCCTTCCTACTATCTTTTTTTTTTTTTTTTTAACATATAATGTATTATTTGTTTCAGAGGTACAGGTCTGTGATTCATCAGTCTTACACAGTTGACAGCGCATACCCTCCCCAATGTCTATCACCCAGCCACCCCATCCCTCCCACCCTCACTACTCCAGCAACCCTCAGTTTGTTTCCTGAGATTAAGAATTCCTCATATCAGTGAGATCACATGATAACATGTCTTTCTCTGATTGACTTATTTTGCTTAGCATAATATCATAGGTGACTTTTAAACTTGTTTCTTTTCAGGCAAGATGGGATGTCTTAAATTCATCTTACACGTTTCCTAATCCAGAAATGAATCAGCCATTTCTCAAAAAAAACCCCAAATTTCTTTTAGTGGGAAATTGCATTTAGACACTACAATCTAGGCACCAGGGACATGCATTGCAACTGACTTGTCAGTACTGTCAGTACTTTTTGGTGAATACGGTTAGGAAATGTATCATTCATCCTGGTTCTTCCAGTTCGCTTTAAATATTGTGAGAAAACCCAGTAGGTCAGATTGACAAATTGTGAACTCAGAAGACTCAGAGATCTTACCCAGTACCAAACTTGACTAATATCTTCAGAGATATAATTATCACAAGACACAGGTAAAATGTCGAAAGTCCGTGACTGCCAGGGCTACTCCCAGGTCCTGCTTACCTCGATTAGGATGGACCCTGGCCCAGATTACATATGAGGCCTCTAAATGATGGATATGGAATGTCACTTCCATGAAAGGGAGCTATTTCCATTATAAATTATCTCCAGGTTATTCCCTGATAATTGTATAGCTTGTGTGATATTTTCTAGGAAGTCATTCCTCATAAGTACATACATCCCAGGTTTATGTACAGTGAGCAGTCTAGACACACCATATCCATCCTGCTAAAGCGTTCCATAGGTAAGGAGAACCCTCCTGGGAGTAAATACCTTTAGAGTGTTTGTGAGGAGGTCTTTGATCAGCATGTTTCTAACATGATGTGATCATGTCACTTCTCTCTCTGTTTATATATAAGTTACATATGCATGGCTTTAATGTGTGCAGTCCCAACTACATTAGAATTGGGTAATACGACATTTACTTCTAGACTTGCTTCCTTTATTGGCCTCTCATCATATCTCTGCCGTATTGATCTTCCTAAAACCCAAATTTGATCCATAACTCCCCTATTTACAACCCTTCATTATCTCCCTATTTGCCTGTGAGATGAAGCACAAACTCCTTAGCATGATTTCCAAAGCCTTCCGTGTGCGGCATGCCTGCTGGCCTCTGTGACTTCATCTCCTGCAGCTCTACCCAAGACCCTCTTACAGCTATATCAAACTCTTCACCAATCTTCAAATACACCATGCAGTTTATGCCTCTAGGTCTTTGTACAAGTTCTTCCTACTGTTTGGAATACCTTCCTCAACCCCTTGCCCCAGATTATCATATTTCTACTCATCCTTAAAGATGAACGTAAGTTTCTCCTTTCTGAAGCAGATCTGAACCACCCAAGTGCAGTTGAAGAGTCTCATATCGTTAAGAACTTCCTGCTTGGTGTCCCTGCTTTCCCCCCTTTTCCCCCTTATGGCAGTTCTCTTAGCAGCAGCCAGACCAGTTTTCCTTCCCGTTCAGAGCCTCCAGTGGCTTCCTGTCACATTCACAATAAAGTCTAAACAAGGCCTTAAATGATCAAGTGCTTCCTATCTCTCTGACTTCATCTTCTGCCAGTTCCCTTCACTCACATGACTCCAGCCACACTTGCCTTCTTGCTGTTTGTTGACTGTTTCACACTTATTTACAACTGTGTCTGGGATCCCCAAGACCACACCTGCAGCTCGATGATTCTCCATGAGACTCGCAGGACTGAGCATGTAGTCATATTTAGGGCTATGATTTATTACAGCAAAAGAACACAAAGCAAAATCAATAAAGAGAAAGATACATGGGTGAAGTCTGGGGAAAACTGGATGCAGGCTTCCAAAGGTCCTCTCTCTCGGGAGTCACACAGAACGTATTTAATTTCCCCAGTAACAAGTTGTGACAACATGTGTGACATGCTGTCTACCAGGGAAATCGATTAGAGACCTAATACCTGGAGTCATTGTAGGGGGTTGGTCATGTAGGCAGTCTGTGCCTAGCACATACCAAAATTGCAGACTTGCTCAGGGAAAGCAGGTGTT